ATGAGTAGAGAAAGGTAGCTAAATTATTTATGCTAATACCGCCTATGGGGAATAAAATCTTTGAATCAAATTCTTTGAGTTAAGAAATTTCATTAAGGCTTCACAAACAGATAATCTTTGAGGCTTTGGACAACATGTTGTATCATGCTGGTAAGGACACTTAACGAGTTATTGGCTTTGTGAAACATAAAATGTTTCCCACTAGTTCCTAAGTTTCATACTTGAACAAAATGTGTTCACCGTCAATTCTTTGTTATAGAATAGAACAAATTAATGTTCCAAAAAAATCTTTTGAGTTTTTCAAAACTTTAAAGAAAGAAAAAATCTTTTTGGATTTTTCAAAAAAAAAATTGTAAATACGAAATCTCTTTGGATTTTTTAAAATTTTTAAGAAAGAAAAGGATTTTTGGATTTTCAAAATTTTAAGAAACAAAAACTTAAACTACGATGGGCTACGATGATCATAGTTCATCGCATATGAACTAAAAGTAAGAAAACAGACAACCTGCGACTACAAGGTGTTGCGAACATTCCTAGTCAGTTGTAGATGACCAGTAACTATCTAAAATGAAACGAATGCGAACAAGAAAAATAAGAACAAGTACCTAATATGATGGTCTGCAAACGAGCCTGTTGCGACTGCTTGCGAACGTTCGCATCCCGTCACAAGTGAAAAGTAATATTTCATAGTTTCATTTTGAATTTGAACTAGGAACTTATTCATCTTCCATCATTCCCAATCCTTCAAGAATTCAATTAAAAGTTGCCTTCGGTAAAGCTTTTGTAAATATATCTTTTAATTGATCAGTAGATCTAACAAAGTGAACTATATTCCCATCTCTAAAATTGTCCTTAATAAAATGATATTTTAATTTTTGGATTAGGTGTCTAATGCCATAACTATAGCTGGTATGTACTTGATCTGATAATAGCATGATCCTTTTGGGTTGCCTTCACTCTAGCAAATTGACATGATGACTTTTGGAGAGAGAGGTTGAATTTATTATTTGGAATAATAAATTGATTTATTAATGTATTATGAAAATAATATATTAATTAGAAATCATGTTATTTAATTATTATTTACTCAGAAATTAATTTGGAATTAATTTTAGGATTAAAGGAACATGAGCTGTTTAGTAAATCATTGATAGTTGTGAAACTGTGCCATTGGACTCCTTAGATGGAGTGGACGAAAAATATAAGGAGGCCCTATAGATTTCATAAAAGGCTTCTTAATAAGGGACCATGGGGTGCTTAAGCCTTAAGTAGGAAATTAGGGTTTCCTCCAGCAAACCCTAGTAGTCCTCAGCTATATAAAGACCCCACATCATAGAATTTTCGATCAATGCTCGCTTCACTGTTCTAGAAATCCTAGTAGAGTCGAAATTCTAAGTGTATTCCACCATCTCTCCTATCATCCTTTTTCTAGTGGTGTTTGTAAGCCATTAGAGGTGCAACATTGGAGGCACAAAGCTTTTAAGACTCGAGATCTACAAGGTGTTCTTATTATTGCTACATAACAAGTGAGGCAAACTTCAAAACCCTTTTATTATGTAATTTTCGAAAATTAAATGTTAGATCTAGGGTTTTGCATTGGTATTCAATTTGCATGTTCAACTAGTGAAAGAATTAGATCCAAAGCAATTAGGGTTGCATGAACATATAGGTTGTAGTTATGCTCAAAACCCATCAGTAATGTGATATTCTTTGTCTTTGAATGTTGTACAGGATTGTGACATATGTGAATAACACTCTCAAAATCGCAGTACAATAGGACCTTCTTCATGCTTAAAACATAATCTCACAGTTGGCTTTGAATCCAACTAATTTGCAACGTGCAATAAGTAGCAGCAATATATTCAACTTCTGCATTAGTTTTGGGTTTTATTTTTAAATATAGTTTCATAAAGTAGAAAAATATGGCAACAGAAGACTTTAATTTTGAAATAATTTAAACACTTTATACCCACCATGGATCTTCTTTCAAGTTATAGAAAGATTAAAATACCAACCAAAGAAGAGGTGAATAAATAACAACCTTGGTAGTTCTTAGGGTCCTCTTGGGAGGCTTGGAAGTTTATGAAGAATGTTGAACCTTTGAGACACCAACAATGACTCAAATTTATGTAGATGCGAATCCAAAACACGATACTAAAGTACTCTCCTCTCTTTTCAGATTGGAGAAACTTTTATCTTTCCGCCTTATAGATTATTCTTATTCGTTCTATTACTCTTTGAAACTTTTCAAAGTGTTAAAATTATGTTTAATCTTATAGACACAACCATATTTACTGAACCATCAATAAATTATGACGAATAGACTTATCGTCCTTTGTGGTAGATCTGACCAGTCAGCATCAATGTGTACTAGATCCTTTAGTCTTTCACTTGACTCACATAAACATGTTATCAAGGAAGTAGTATTAATCTTCCAATGATCAAGATTATCATACATCACACAATCAAATTGTATGACTCCAAGTTTCTATTTAGTTGAAACTTAGGTGATGAGAATTCATTTTCACTTGGTCAATTATGACATTACCACAAATGATATAAAAAAGAATCAAATCCACTTTTAACGTTGCTAATAATATAAAAATAATCACCAATTTTCATAAATACAATTGCAAGGAAATATAAAGTAAACAAGATAAAACAAAAAATTTACTTTATCTTAGAAAGATACTCGTGTTGATGTGTAAAAATGGTTTTATAGTAGTACCATTTAGTTGCTTATATGCTTGCATTTGTTATATGAAACATGTTAATAGTTGATAAACTTTCTAAGGTTATTTTTTATAATGAGGATTATCAGACGAGTCATTCATTTTACACAATCGTGTCTCCATTCCACCTTGTTATACTTTTTTTAAATGAGAAAAAAAAGTTATAACTTTTGTTTCATCAAAACAAATATAGTCAAATCATTGTATTATGTAGATTATACATAATACAATGTGTGTTTGTTTGTTAAACACAATACATTGATACACCTCGAATGGAAAAGTTCTATTGATGTTTATGAAGTCCTTTTTGTTTTTAATGTCATGTAAACCATATATGTTTGGTACACAAGATACGATGTTGTTTGTTAACAAACACACAAACTCAACCATGAAAACCTTATATTGTACCTGCTTACTTGGTATGTAATTCTAATGTCAATCGGTCAACAATCATAATTTTTTCTCATTTAAAAAGATGAAACAATGTGAAACAAAGACTAGTTATTGATCATGTGACTTATATAAAAGTCGTAATTACCCTCGTCACCCCTCCTAACTTGTCACAAGATGTTGGAAAACTACAATATTCACATTATACATAACACAACAAGAGAGAGCCAAAAAAACATATAAACAAAGTAACAAACTACTCAAATCAAACAAAGAAGAAAAACATCATTTTCATTTCAATAACCACTACATTCCTTAAGGCGTCTCCACCTCCGGTCATCGACATCCCCAGCCACACGATGCCGACACTTCCTCCGCACATCAAGCATTAAACATCAGATTGGCTTGATTGAACTGTGACTAGACTCTTCGTCATACCAAATAAAAATCAGGTTTTAAAAAAAGTTTGTTTTGAATTGGATGCTTAGGGTTATGGATTTTATTGGTCCAATAGGATATGCTTAATTTAGGGTTTTGACTACTTTTTTAGGTTGTTAATAACGAATATAAAAGAATCTGACATGGACAATTAAGATTTCGTTAGATTGAATTATCAACATCGTGAATTTAAAATTTGAAAATTACGGCTAAAAGTTTGGTTTTGTGCATACAAGAGATATATAGAGCATGTTCGACAAAATTAGCTTGTACCGGGTAGCTTGCAGCTTGTAGCTTGTAGCGTTTTGTTAAACGCTACATGAAGTAACATTTGGATTTGGAGAATTTTGTTTAAACTAAACGCTAAAAGCTTGTTGTGTCAAACAAGACTATCTGTTTAAAATAAAATATTTTTCCAAATGTTGGAAGCTCTCAGACACTCCGTGTCAAACACGCCAACAGACTATAGAAAGATCGGACCACATGTACAACATGTACAACAATATCCCATAGACCCATAGTCTCGAATTAGTCTAACTAAAATTTAAGATATTCATACATATTCATTCTACCATTCATATGATAGTTAGCATTAAACTCGTCATATTTTGTTTGAAAAAAAAGACATGCAAGTAAATGAGTATATTATGCTTGTACTTATTTTTTATTTTTATATTTTTTTCAATAGACATATATAAATGTCGCTTTAGATTTACCATGTTGAAGATAGACCATCAGAAACTATTCACACATACCGAGTAACATTTCCAAAGTCAAATATTCCATTTCTTCAGCATCTTCATTATATTAGTTCTTATCTTATGAAATGGAACCCAAAGACCAAAATTGAAAAAGATACATGATATCAAAACATAAAATAAAAAATAAAAAACTAGTTTTTGTTAAATAATAAATACAACACGCTGAAGTCACAATCAAATGATGCTTACATAGACCAAATATATAATCGTGTCACTAAAATCTCATTTAGAAAATTTCATCATAAGTTGAAAGTTGTAACCTTTTCATAAATAAATAAAGAGTAAATTATAGAAATTGTTCCTATGGGTTTATCGTTTATATCCCTATGGTTTGTGAATATTGTACTATTTCATATAAAGAGTAAATTATAGAAATTGTTCCTATGGGTTGATCGGTTATATCCTGCTTGATAATGGTTGGCTGGAACTGTTGTCGTTTATGTTTCAGTGTGTTTCTTCCGATTCTCCCAAGCTTCAAGAATCTATGTTCTTGATATTTGCACAGTTGTCACAATACATTGGGGAGACTTTAATTCGACACATAAAGTATCTTCATGGCGTCTTTTTGTAGTGCCTGACTAAGTCGGGGAGCTCAGATGTGAGGATTGCTGCTTTGAGTCCTATAATTAATTTTATTCGGTGTTTGTCGAGTTTCAGTGATAGGGATCGGTTCCAGGATATGCTTCCAACGATGATGATGAATTTGAGTGAAGATTTAAATGGTGGACAAGAGGCTACTGCTCAAGAGGCATTGGAATTGTTGATTGAGTTGGCAGGGACTGAGCCTAGGTTCTTGAGGAGGCAGTTAGTGGAGGTGGTGGGGTCTATGTGAAACGTCCCAAAATACGACCAAATTTTTTTTGTTTAAATAATACTAAAACCATAACATCGAATGCCATAAAATAAAAATCATACGTCAATATCTCAAAACGATAATAAAGTGTCATGATAAAAACTGTATCAAATTGTGTCAAGTCATATCTAAGAAAAACTAAACCAACTCCCAGGATAAAATTGAAGATGTGGTGTGTGCGATGCCATCATCCCGAGCTCTTCCCTTTACTTGTGGAAGTACCGGAAACCAAAACTGAAACTGTAAGTACCAAGCTTAGTGAGCTCCCCCAAACTACCACATACCAAACTATCATATAAACACATATAGGGTCTTGTCCACTACATCAGACCGAAGTCTGGAACTAACCAGGGCCTTGCCCTCTGCATCGGACTGAAGTCCAGAAACTGCATCAAACCGAAGTCCGGAACTGTCTGGGACCTTGTCCCCTGCATCGGACCGATGTCCGGACTAACTGCATCGGATCGAAACCCGGAACTGACTGGGACCTTGTCCCCTGCATCGGACCGAAGTCCGGAAACTGACTGAGCATAGCATAAACATATCAACTGGCATAAGCACATATACTGCATACTGCATCGAACCAAAGTCCAGAACACATAACACAAAACATGCTTGAATCACAAAGACATCAAGCAATCTAACTACTGCATCGGACAGAGGTCCGGAACTACTGCTAACTAAACGGGTCGGCATTATGGTCGTAGACCCGTTCTTACTGGAAGGAAAACTCACCTTGAAAGTTGGCTGTTGAAACTCTACTCGGGAACTGTCTGCTGCTACTCCGGTCTCTCCCAGCTACAATTCCCATAAACACACTCAATCAACTACTGATAACTATACTGAGGGTAAAATGACTAATTTACCCCTGGTCAAACTCAACCTCCTGGTCAAAGTCAACATACAGTTGACCCGACTCATCGAGTTGGGCCGCCAACTCGTCAACTCCATACTCTTATTTCTCATTACTGCCCGCTAATACTCGTCGAGTTTGGCATAGACTCGACGAGTTCCTCCTCAATACTAAAAAACAGTCTATCTTCATCTGACTCGCCGAGTTGTATGAACAACTCGTTGAGTTCTCCTTCATCATAAGAGCATTCTAGCATGTGACTCGCCGGGTAGTATGAACAACTCATCGAGTTTTCTCTTGAGGCAAGAAGATTTCCCTGGACTCGCTGAGTCCCTCCATTGTTGAGTTTGACTTCCGACCCACTGAGTCCACCTCCAACTCACTGGTTCCACTCGGCATAACCCAAAAGGGGAAAAATCGGGGACTCATGACTCGACTCGCCGAGTCTGAAGAACAACTTGCCGAGTCTCTTCAATGCCAACACTATACAGTCGATTCTTATCAATTCCATTGCATTCAACTTATAGATCTGGGTTCCTAAGGCTTGTTTCACACGTAAAGCTTCCAACTTTACGTGTGTTTATGCAACAATGGTCCCATAAATGCAGTAGATCTGAGCTTCTAAAGCTCAAACATGGGTAGATCTGATGGCTATTCATCACCACATGTTCTCTATACTACTTCCAAGCCAAAAATGGCAAAACAATCCAAATAAGATATCTAATTGAAGAAGGACAAAGGTTTGAGCTTGATACCTCAAAGAAGACTGTAATGCAATAAGGAAATCGGATCTACTTTGCTCCCCCTTGATTCCTCCTCTTCTCTTCTCTTCTTCTAGCTTTAAATTCACTAACAACTTGCACAATATGAGAAATCACACCAAAAAAAAAGATAAGGAACGACTAGGGTTTTAGTTTGAACTCTCTGTGGGTGAGGAAGGCTGATTAGTGCACAAAAAGTTGTTTAAATAAGGTGCAAACCCTTACCTTTAGGGTTTCATCCAGACTGGCGGACTCGTCGAGTCCAAGCATATGGAATCGCCGAGTCACCAGCTCCAAACACGTGCTTATCTCGTCTCTACTCGACGAGTCGGGCTACTGACTCGTCGAGTTCCTCTTGAAAACTTGAAAAATTAGATATTTAAATACATACCAGAATTGGGGCGTTACACTATGTTGCAGATAGCTGAAGCAGATACTCTAGAAGAGGGCACACGACACCTAGCCATTGAGTTTATGATCACACTAGCAGAGGCCAGAGAGAGGGCACCTGGTATGATGAGGAAGTTGCCACAGTTTATCAGCAGGTTGTTCTGCATTTTATTGTAGATGTTGTTAGCTGTCGAGGATGAACCTGCTTGGCATACTGCTGAAAATGAGGACGAAGATGCAGGAGTGTCAAGTAATTACAGTGTTCAGCAGGAGTGCTTGGATCGGTTGGTTATTTCTCTAGGTGGGAATACGATTGTCCCTGTTGCATCTGAATAGTTGTTGGCTTACTTGGCTGCCCCTAAGTGGCAGAAACATCATGTTGCACTTATCGTTCTTGCACAAATAGCTGGGGGATGCTCAAAGGTAGCAATATTTTTGGAATTTGTTCTATCACTTTTGGTCAAGTTTGATTGTTCAACGCATCATTTGTTTAACATGCAAATGAGTTGATTTTTATGATTGGATTAGTTTGCCTAGATATGAACCTTTTCACATACTTATTATTTCCTTGCATTTTGTTGGTGTGTGTTATAATGTTTTGTCATGCAAGTAGTATACATTCTTCTAAAATACATCACATTCTTTTAAAAAGTACATCAGGAAGATTATTGCATATTCTTTAAGAATTCCCATTCTTTTGATATAGCTTTCCAATAAAAACGATTTTGATTGTTCATTCTTTATTTGATGTTGCTGTAATTATTCGTTACTCTATTGTCGTCGCATCAAATGAAGAGTTTTCTTTTAAGAATTGTTTCAAATTTAGAAAAAATTTACTATGTTGTTTTTGTAATTTTTTTTGAGTTGTGTTTTATTTTAAAGAATATTTATAAATATTCTTTAAGAATGCTCTTCAATTTGAAATTATATTCTTGGAGGGGATCGGAAAAATATACAAGTATTCTTTAAATATTATAAATAATAATTAATATAATTAATTTGATTTGGATAAGTTTCCTAAATTTATGCATTTGATTAATTAATAGCCTAAAATGATGATATAAAATAGTGTATATTACTCCAAAATGATTGATCCAAAATTTTTCTTACGTCCAAACAATAGATGTCATCCACATTATCATCTAGCCATATATACATACATATATATATATATATATATATATATATATATATATATATATATATATACATATATCTTATTATATAAAATTAAATTATTATTATTAATATTATTATTATTATTAAAGAAATAAATCTTAGGAATAGTAAACTTACCATTTTTTGGCAACTTTGCTCCTCATTCTTTGATCATTTTGATACTTTTGGTCCTTGCAATCAATAATTTTACACTTTTTCGGAACATTTTAATATTTAAAGTTTGGTCACAAAACTTTAATAGTTTGGCAACTTTGATCCCTTTTCGAAAAAGTTGTTAATTCTTACCCCTTTAATTATTTAGCCATTTTGACACTTCTGGTACTTACAGTCAAAACTTTTACATTTTTTCATAAACACATGAAAAAAACGGTATGTTACAAAGCCCGAGATTTTCATCGTTGCACTTTTTACGTCTGTCATATTTATCGAGTCGGAAACAACATTGAAAGCTTCTGACTTCCGTGTAGCAGGGGTAACCTTTCTAGTTTTTATTAATTAAGTTTATTAGATATTTAATAATATTTTATTTGTGAAATATTAAGTTCAGGACAACTATATAGTATTTTCAATGTTCTTTTTATTTTTATAAAAATAAAAATTTCACTTTTTTTTGTATTTAAACATAATTTTGGCTTAAATGGATTTAAATATTAACACTGTAACATCTCAAAAGTCACAAAAAAATTTTAAACTTTTCAAATCAAACTATTAACTTATAAAAAATGTTTACAAAATCATTGTTTCCAAAATATTATTTAGAATAGAGTCTCCTAAGATCAACATTATAAATCATGATGTGTATGGTCACGTCTTCGCCTTCCCACGATCCTTGGAAGTACCTGAAACCATAACCAAAAACTATAAGCCAATGCTTAGTGAGTTTCCTCCAAAGTACCACTACATAAAATACATAACATAAACAGACAAGCATGTTGGGTCCAATCAGTCATCGGACTGGAATACCCCAGGTCCACAACCATCGGTCTGGATTACCCCTAACACAATCAGTCATCAGACATGAATGCCAATATACAACGGATCCACTCAGTCATTGGACTAGAATACCCTCGGGCCCTCTGTAAGAGTTTAGCATACCAACAAGCGCTTAGCACGTATCTGGAATGACTCCGAGCCCTTAGTATAAGTCTGGCATGCCAATCAACCATTAGTCCATCACCTCATATCTGAAATGCTCTTAGGTTTGTTGGCTACAACACAAACCAGTACCACCTCAACCCAACACAATATGTCGACATATACATAAAAGATAAACATAATATCAGTCAACAGTCAAATAAGAAGATCTATAGAACACTATCACATTGCAACATCCTATAAACTAGGATACAAATCTAAAAGATCACTACAACATAACAACATACGGTAAACCAGGATATCAATCCAATAGGCCGGCCTTGGTGCATTCGACCCGAAAGTATAGTAAGGAAAACTCACCTTACAATTTGTTAGAAAAGTTGAACGGTAAACTGCTCGAAATACCGGCTCTACAGGTTACATATTCAACAAATAGAGACTAAGACTCAACTATTGCTCAAAATATCCAAAATGACCTTAAGTCAAACTTGGTCAACCTTTGTCAAAGTCAAAGGGTCAAGAAAAGTCAACCCAGACCAAGTGCGCTCAACGTACTCAGCTCGTATGCCCCGCGCACTTGCGATCCAGATCGGGCTCCCTTAGGCGTACGCACGACGTACGACAAGGTACGCCCAACCTATGCAATAGCTTAATAACTTCATTTTGAGGGATTAATTCCTTAAGTCACTACGTCAAATTTTCAGTCTTAGCCCCAACTAGCATCCCAAACCATAAAGTTTCCAACTTTATGCTTCTACATGCTGGATTTAGTGTCTAAGCCTATAAATATAACTGGGATGTACTTGACCTGATTGTAGTATGGTCATTTTGGGTTGTCTTCACCAGTGCAATTTGATAGGATAGACTTTTGAGAATAAGGTTATTTATTAGTATGAAATCACATTATTTAATTATTATTATCAAGAATTAATTAGGAATTAATTTTTTGATCAAAAGAGACTAATTAAATATATAGGGATTCATTATGTATCAATGATTATTATAATGTGAGCTAATGATCTATGTTATTTAGGATGGGTTAAACCAAGGTGATAATCCATAGATAGTCCATGGAGGCTTTAACCCATGGAGCCTAATTAATATGAAAGGTCATTAGGGTTTACAAGGTGTAACCCTAACATTTGCTACACTATAAATAGATCCCTCTAGAACCAAAATCGGTTGCCACAACATTCTTGGAGAGTGTGTATTGATTTTGTGCTAAGTAACTTATTCTCCCAAGCCTCCTCTTGCGTATTGGTGTTTGTGAACCATTAGAGACATCACACTTGAGGTGCTCAAGCTTTCAATGGTCAAGAACTACAAGTCCTTCTAAGAGATAAGTCATCTAACTAGTTGTTATTATTATTATTATTATTATTATTATTATTATTATTATTATTATTAACTTTATTTATTTATCTTTGTTTTTGTGGTTTAAAAATCGTTTATTATTTTTGATGTTTTATTTGAAGATATTATTTAATGTTTTTTTTTTGACCTTTTCTCGTTTATATTATATAATTATTTTTTTGACGTTTGTTTTCGAATAAAGAAATTAAAACAATAACCCAGATAACTATTAGTCTTCCAATAGATTATTTAATGTTCTTTTTTTTTCTTTTTCTTGTAACTATATATATATATATATATATATATATATATATATATATATATATATATATATATATATATATATATATAAGATTGAATAGTTTTACTTTGTTTTTTTTTTCATAAATAGTTATACGAAAAAATATAATTATTCAGGCAATAAATGAAGAAGTACTAACATATAAACGAATGATGTAAACGAAAAACACATAAAACCATAAAACCTTTTAAAAATGAATTAAAGAACAAATAATAACATATAATTGAATGATGTAAACAAAAAAAATACATAAAAAACAATATTAAATAATTATATTGGATGATTTATAGTTATTGTTTATTAGTTTAATTTGTTTATTCAAACAAAATATAAAAAACATCATTACATAATGTAAACGAACAAAACATTACAAAACAATATCAAATAATATATTCGAATAAAACGTCAATAATATTTATGTTTTTATTTTAGTTTGTCTATTCGAATAAAACGTACAAAAAATCATTATATAATCTAAACAAACAAAATGTTAATAACAACTTCAAATAATATATTCAAATAAAACATCAAAAATATTAAACGATTTTTAAATCACCAAAAAGAAAGATAAATAAATAATAATGTGATTTTATATAACTTAGATAATTGATTTAAAAAATAAAAATAGTTTTATAAATAATCTATATTAATTCTATTGAAATAAAAATCAAATAAACCTACAATATATATATATATATATATATATATATATATATATATATATATATATATATATATATATATATATATATATAATTGTTAAAAGAAAAAGACAAAAGAAAAAAAGGATAATCTGATCTTTTTATATGGAGCAAAGACCTGAAGTATAATATTCAGAAACCATAAGGATGTAACATATCATAATTTTAACTTAAGGATCAAAAATACGAAATTAACCAAACCATAGAGACATTTTATGTAATTTACTAATAGATAAATAAATAGGTAAATGTGATGGTAAACTACTAACAATAGAAACTCCAAATATTTAAACCTCTAACAGATATTTAGTTGTGGGTTGGGTTTTTGATATATGATTGGAAACCAAAAAATGAGAGTCGAAGCATACAATTTCAGCCTAGAAAATAAAGATAGGCTTGGTGTGATGTATCTTACTTTGTACAAGGAAATCATGCTTTTCTGTTTAATCGTTGAGGAAATATGATCTTAAAAGGCAATTACTTGAGAAAGATCTTCATCAAGATAAAGGAAATGTAGAAGGTATGTGTGGTCTTGCTCTTGAAGCATAAGATGCTTCATGTGCTAGTGGGATTTAGATTCGGGTGTGACTAGCAAACTAGGAAGGATCGACTACCTTCATTTCCACATCAAGTGTATTGTATATTAGAATATACATGCCTTGATGTGTAACAATGTGTGTATAGTAGTGCAACACGCGTTGATGTGT